GGCGGAAGGATCGCCGGAGCCCAGCAGGTGAGGCTGCGGCGGCCGGGAGCAGCCACTGCACTGCAGCCTGGGCGACAGAGTAAGACTCCGACTCAAAAATAAACCAATAAATAAATAAATAATGGAGCCATATAATATGTGGTCTCCTGTGTCCGGCTCCTTTCACTTGGCATAACGTATTTCAGGTACACCCATGTCCTGATGTATCAGTACTTAAATCCTTCTATTGCTGAATGACATCCCATTGTGTGGACATATCACATGTTATTTATCTATTCATCAGCTGATGGACACAGTAATTCTTTTTTTTTTAGATTGAAAAATATCGTTTATTTAGGAAGTAAATTAGAGAGAGAGAAAAAGAGGGGACTCACCTCCCCAAGGTGGGGAGGGGGCCAAAGCCAGGAACATGGCCTGGCCATAGCTCCAAGAGCACATGCCACACCACAGCTTAGCAAGGCAATTGCCTGACACCGTAATTAAAGCCACACCTTTCTAAATTTTTGAAGGTTAGGTTTCTGGGATTTACCAAAGATAATAAAAAGAGATACAAAGTAACAAATAAACACTACAAATAGGAAGCAGTGAGTTCCCTTGTCCCTCAGTCAAGGCTAGAAAATTACTTTATGTGCTTACCTTGTCTGGTGCATTTTTGCTTAACATTAAAGGGAAGACTCGCTCATGAAGCCAGTACTTGCGATTGTTGTTATTACAGCCATACAAGAAGATATTATTCTTACGGCTATGGCCATGGAAATCACAGTACAAGAGAACCTCTCTTTCTTCAAGAAGTCTATTGAAGAGGGCAAACAAAGGACTCAGTGGACATCCAAATGCATGCAAATAATCAGAAGTCACTTGGAGGAGTCTCTTCTGTAAGTACAGCTGTTGATATCTTCCTTCCTGTCGGGAGTGGATGTAATGTGGGGAGCAGACAAGCACGGTCACTGTAGCAGGCCTAGAGTAAAGGCCCCAAGCGAAGGCAAGGTCTCGCTTAATGGCCCCAAGCTCGCAGGCAAGGTTTTGCTTGGAAACTCTGCATCCTAGCCAAAGGCAGGCTGCGAGGGATGCAGCCTGCTACGTGAAACGGTGTCTCAGATGCCCACACATCCAGTGCACACAGTACAGATAAAGCCTTAGCTACAACAAGGTAACTGTGGAACAGCTCGCCTTTTAGGTAGCAACATAATTCCGTTATAGCTCCCTCACAGACCTTGAATCCCTTCCAACTTCCCTTGTGCCTGATTATAAAATAAACATGCTAAGCTAGTTTGGGGTCACTTCTCCATCAGAGGAAAGTGTCCCATCTGGCCCCAGTTTTTCTTTATGTCTGTGTTTTTCTTAAATCTCTTACTGTTCTCTCTCGGGACCCTCAAGGCAGCTGCGTGGGCTGTGGCACCTTCCTAAGAAAATCTCAGCTCCAAGGGCCTTCAGTGGACCCTATCTCCATCCTCAGCTACTGCTGAAAACATGTCAACAACATGCCTTGTCCCTGCCAGTCAGAGGGACTTAAAATGGAAAAGTTCTGATATGGAAATGGACTTGTTTAAAAGTTCTGATTGGATAGGCTTTGTTTAAGTTGACAAGCAAGTGGGGGAAAAAACTGATGAGAAAAAGCCCACCCTGGTGTAGAGACCTATGAGGAGAGGGAATGAGGCAGAGTTGGGGCAGTTGCAGGAAAGAAAAAAATAACAAAGGCTGGTGCAGTTGTTCATGCCTGTAATCCTAGCACTTTGAGGATGAGGCGAGAGGACTACCTGAGCCCAAGAGTTTGAGACCAGCCTGGGCAACACAGTGAGATCTCATCTCTACAAAATGATTTAAAAATTAGCCCAGCATGGTGGTATACACCTGTAGTTCCAGCTACTTGGAAGGCTAAGGCAGAAGGACCACCTAAACCCAGCACGTCGAGGCTGCAGTGGCTGTGAGCATGCCTCTGCACTCCAGCCTGAGCGACAGAGTGAGATGCCGACTCAAAATAAATAAATAAATAAATAAATAAATAAAAGCTCATTTAAGGTAGCTGCTATTATACTATAGTCTTCAATGTTTTTACATAGGCTCGAAAACTGCTGACTGATTTTGTTATTCTCTCTCCATGAGAGGCAATATAAGATGACATAAGGAACTCAGAGTCTGGAACCAGAGAGAGAGTGAGTGAGTGAGTGAGTATGTTTGTATGCATTTATTTATTTATATGTATGTGTGTATTGAGTCAGAGTCTCTGTTGTCTAGACTGGAGTGCAATGCCACACTCATGGCCATCATAGCCTCAACCTGCTGGGCTCAGGCGATCCTTCCACCTCAGCTTTCCAAGTACCTGGAACCACAGGCGTGTACCACCACACCTGGCTAATTTTTGATTTATTGTAGAGACGAGGTCTTGCCAAGTTGCCCAGGCTGGTCTCGAACCCCTGGGCTAGGCAATCCTCTCACCTTCGCCTCTCAAAGTTCTGGGATTACAGGCCTGAGCCAAAAAGCTACTGGTGAGTCTGTGTTTCAATGTCTACTCTGTCACTTAATAGCTGTATGAACTTAGGCAAGTTACTTAACCTTTCTGGTCCTCAATTTATCATACAACATGAGATATTGATTGTGCCTACCTCATATGATTCATTTAATGTGAAGATCAAATGGATCACATTTTTAAAGCACCCAGCATAGTACCTGTCACTTTACACATAAGCATTGATTAACTGTTAACCACTATTATTACTACACAAGTCTCATCATGAAGACCTATGAACTCCCCTTCTCAATTCAGTTGTTTCACTTGCATGTTGAATTTCAACCCAAAGACAAAAGTTAAAAATCTGAAAATTGAGCAGCTGGGCTCGGTGGCTCAGCCTGTAATCCCGCGCCTTTGGGAGGCTGAGATGAGTGGATTGCCTGAGCCCGTGGGTTCGAGACCCGCCTGGGCGGTGAGACCTCATCTCTACAATAAATAAAAAAAAAAAATCAGCCGGGCGTGGTAGCGCCTGCCTGTAATCCCGGCTACTTGGAAGGCTGAGGCGGAAGGATCGCTGGAGCCCAGCAGGTCGAGGCTGCGGTGGCCGGGAGCGGCCACTGCACTCCAGTCTGGGCGAGAGTGAGACTCCAACTCAAAAAAAAATCTGAAAATCGACAAACCAGCTTGACTGCAAAGAGACTGGTAAAAACTCTGTCTGCAAAACCATACTCCATTCTTATAACAGAAGCGACTTTATACCCCATCAGATAGGGATATCTTGAGCTAGTGATGCTAGTGTTCACAGAAAGATCAACAGATACAGTCTCACCTTTTGATCATGTTCCTGGTGTGCCAAATGCAAGGGAAAGATTTCTTCAGAAGGGTTTTATAATGCCTGTTCAAGTCCCTTCCAGCCAAGGAACACCGGTAATTTCCCACAATCACACCATCTGGATTTAACATGGGAACCACTTTGAACACAAAAATATCTCTGAGGAGCTGGGCATCTGGAGAGTTGCTAAGGATGAAGTCCAAAAAGCCTTTCATAATCCAGGAGCCATTACTTTCTCCAGGATGGACTCTGGCGCTCAAGACCACAGCTTTCTTTGCAGCTGCCTCTTGAGGGGTCTCCGATGGGTTGGTGATGGTGAGCAGATAGACAGTATTTCCTGCTAGGCTCCTGCATAAAGAACGGAGCTTGCAGAACTGAGACTGGATGGGGTTGTTTGCCACTGACAGAAGGTAGCATTGCAAATCCGTGTATGTATATGGGTAGAAGTGTGCGAAGAAGCAAGTGTCCTGATCATGTGGAAACCGAATGGTCCACGTGAGACAGTAGAAAGGCTGCTGTCCATCATCCATGTTGTTCTTATAGTACTTGATTTCATTTCCTTCTCTCCTCCAGCCAATGTTGTGGGTGTTGGCATCCGACTGGGAGTACATGAGAGGCTTCATTCCTATAGTATAAAGACTCTTGGGTTTTAGCAAGTTGACAATGGTGAAGCGATAGGTAGTATCTTTTCTGGTATTCTGAACACGAAAATAAAACCACTGAGTATGTTTGTTTGTGTAGAGGTCGGTTCGCAAGGTAAGTTCATACTCATAGGTGTCTCTGTAATGAGGAAACAGAATCGGTCACATTCCCCTCAACAAATAAATTTGAGAAAATAATTGTTTTTCTCTGGTAAAAACAGATCTTCTTGCAACAGAAAAACCTGCTGCATCAAACATTCATTTACTGCTGCATCAAACAACTCATTCATTTAATTGACCTAGACATCCAACTCACATATTACACTAGCAGGAACTTGGGGAAGGAACATTTGTTTGGGTAAGGGAAGGAGGAGTCTCAAAATTCATTTCTATATAGGATGTTTATAAGTTCTGTGAGCAAGAAGGTATCTTTCTAGAGTGCTGTGTAGCAGTTTCTAACCACTGCAGTACATGTCTCTGAAACACAATGAACAGCAGTGAAGCCAGTGCCCTCTGCTGGCTGCTAGCATGTCCATCCTAGAGACTACCAATGTGGAGGAAACTTAAACCTCAATGCTATTTTATTTTTTGAGTAGGAGTCTTACTCTGTTGTCCAGGCTGGAGTGCAATGTATATCTATGGTACTGCTATAGAAAAATGCCTAAAATTAATTAAGAAAACAATCTGCAAAACAATGTGTACACATACCATTATCCAATTTTTAATTTTTATTTAGTTATTTTTTTTTTGAGTTGGAGTCTCACCCTGTTGCCCAGGCTGGAGTGCAGTGGCATGTTCTCAGCCACCGCAGCCTTGACCTGCTGGGCTTAGGCAATCCTTCTGCCGGAGTCTTCCATGTAGCTGGAACTACAGGTGCACGCTACCATGTCCAGCTAAGCTTTTGATTTATTGCAGAACGAGGTCTTACCAAGTTGCCCAGGCTGGTCTTGAATCCCTCGGCTCAGGCAATTCTCTTGCCTAGTCCACACAAAGTGCTGGGATTACAGGCTTGAACCACCGTGCTTGGTCTCAATTTTTATTTTAAAAAATATATAATTTATGTATATTATGTATACACACAGAAAAATTAAGGCATATAGACCAAACACAGTTGCTGCATGTGGGAACTATAGGACCATTTATGTTATGTGTTTTTGCTAATATAAATTTTAAGTGAGCTGTAATTTGTTTTATAAGCAGAAGAAACAATTTTGATAAAGTTTTATTCTGGGGAAAAATATGAGTCCTAATTATTGCATTCTTCTTCACCCTTATAACCATTTCCCATCAAGTTTTCATTTTTTGCAAATGCTTTTACTTCCTAATATCATTTGTGAAGATACTTCTCAGTCACTCTAATTATCGTTCCCTTGAGAAATTTCTTGTTACTCACACTCTGACAGCTTTTTGCAGATTTCCACTCTCAAATCTTGATTCAAACAGTAGAGTATTATCTTCTGGTCCCTGCAACGTAACAGCGGGCTCCTTGATAATTCCTCGTTTGCCTCCCACTCTGGAACTGGTGAAATAGGAAGCTTCTGTGGGCACTGCAGATAAAGGAGACATATTTAAGCTAGGCTCTACTCAGAATCCATTCATTCAGCAAATATTTACTGAGTTCCTCTAAATGGTCAGCAACATTCTAAGCTAACAACAATGAATATTCAGTTTTCCTTGCTGAGACTTTTTTCAACAATGTATTTCTTTGAAATCCGTAAGTGTTTTAGAGCATTTCCTTTTGCTCCATGGCTCAGCTACTACTTGTACCCTCTAAACCCCAATATAAAAGGATGTTGATAAAAATAACTTTTGTCTGATACTGAGTGGAATAAGACACAATGCTCTTTCAACCACTTATATGGAGGGTCTGAAAATATTTGAGAACTTATTCTGCAAAATAACGACGACTAGCATCTATTCATCAATAAAAAAAGACAGATAGAAAATCAAAAAAACAGAAAATAAAGTATAGCCATATAATTTTTGGTATAGTCTTCTAGAGTTAAGCAGCTTCTTTCAGAGTCTCACTCTGTCACCCAGGCTTGAGTGCAGTGGTGCGGTCAAGGCCACCGCAGCCTTGACCTGCTGGGCTCAAGTGATCCTTCTGCCTAAGCCTACCAAGCAGTTGGAACTAGAGGTGTGTGGCACCACATCCAGCTAACTTTTTAAAATTTACTTAGAGATGAGATCTCGCCATGTTGCCCAGACTGATCTCCAACCCCTGAGCTCAGGCAATCTTCTCGCCTCCACCTCCCAAAGTGCGGGATTACAGGCATGAGCCACTATGCCTAGCCAGATTTAACATCTTCACAGTATTTAAGTGTACAGTTAAGTGGTAATAAATACATTTATAAAGCCAGGTACAGGGGCTCATGCCTATAATCCCAGGACTTTGGGAGGCCGAGGTGAGAGGACTGCCTGAGCCAACAGGTTCGAGACCAGCCTGAGCAACCTTGTCTCTACAATAAATCAAAATATTAGGCAGGCATGGTGGCGCATGCCTGTAGTTCCAGCTACTTGAAAGGCTGAGGCAGAAGGATCGTCTAAGCCCAGCAGGTCGAGGCTGCAGTGGCCGTGAGCATGCCACTGCACTCCAGCCTGGGTGACAGAGTGAGACTTCTACTCAAAAAAATAATTCATTTATATTTTTTTCCTCTTCATATTGCCATTTATTGTCCAGATTTAAATAAAACAAAAACATAAGTTTGAGAATTGGCTTAAGGGAGGAATAAAAATATCATAGTTACTAGTAAAAATAAAAAGTTATGACTGGCATTTATCTTTAAAAAAGTTAAACAAGTGTGCTAGGTGCCCTGGCTCATGCCTATAATCCCAGCACTTTGGGAGACCGAGGTGAAAGGACTGCCTGAGTCCATGGGTTCAGATCAGGCTGGGCAACTTTGTGAGACCTCATCTCTACAATAAATCAAAATATTAGCTGGGCGTGGTGACACGTGCCTGTAGTTCCAGCTACTTGGAAGGCTGTGGAGGAAGGATAGCCTGAGTCTAGCAGGTCGAGGCTGCGGTGACTGTGAGCGTGCCACTGCACTCCAGCCTGGCCAACAGAGAGAGACTCCAACTAAAAAAAAAAAAAAATAGGTCAGGCTTGGTGGCTCAGCCTCAGATCCCAGCATTTTGGGAGGCTGAGGGAAGTGGATTGCCTCAGTTTGTGGGTTCGAGACCAGCCTGAGCAACTTGGCGAGACTTCATCTCTACAATTAATCAAAAATTAACCAGGCATGGTAGTGTGCTCCTGTAGTTCCAGCTACTTGGAAGGCTGAGGTGGAAGGATTGCAGAAGCCCAGCAGATTGAGGCTGCGGTGGCCGGGAGTGTGCCACTGCACTCCAGTCTGGGCAGCGAGTGAGACTCCATTTCAAAAAAACAAAAAACAAAAAAATTTAAAATAAATAAATAAATAAAGTTAAAAAAGCTAAACAAAAATTATAAAATTCATTTTATCTTATTTAATAAAATTTTGTTTATAATCACAACCTCTTTTGAATCCTTGAAATAATAAAGAATCAATTGTTAGTTTTTTTTGAGGGTGTTGCAGTGTTTCAGATAAATTCAGCAGAAATGCCATATGACAGCTTCAATTTTGCAGTTACTTTTCTTTCTCTGAGACAGGGTCTTGCTTTGTCACACAGGCTGGAGTGCAGTGGCACAATCATAGCTCACCACAACCTCAAAATCCAGGGCTCAGGTGATCTTCCTGTCTTAGCCTCCCAAGTATCTAGGATTATAGGTATGTGCCACCATGCCTAGCTAATTTTCACCTCTGCCTCGCAAAGTGCTGGGATTACAGGCGTGAGCCACCACACCCAGCTAATTTTATTTATTTATTTGAGTTGGAGTCTCACTCTGTTGCTCAGGCTGGAGTGCAGTGGCACGCTCATGGCCACCGCAGCCTTGCTCTGCTGGGCTCAGGCGATTTCACCTCAGCCTTCCAACTAGCTAAAACTACAGGCGCATGCTACCATGCCCTGCTAATTTTTTACTTTATTGTAGAGATGAGGTTGCCCAGGCTGGTCTCAAACCTGTGGGCTCAGGCAATCCTCTCACCTTGGCCTCCCAAACTGTTGGGATTATAAGCATGAGCCACAGTACCCAGCCTAATTTTTAAATTTTTTGTAGAGATGGGTCTCACTATGTTGCCCAGGCTGTTCTTGAACCCCTGACCTCAAGCCTCAAGCTATTCTCCTGCCTCAGCCTCCAAAGTGCTGGGATTATAGGCATGAGCCACTGTGCTAAGTTCATTTTTACAGTTACTTTTGCAAAATCATTTCAGAACTTACAACTTCTCTGAGGATTTCTCTGTGTCGCATAATACTATTATCACTGTGTCCAAGAAGACCTATTTTGTCATCTTTTGATTTTCTGTTAACTGAAGAATTTCTAGATCTTCATTTGTCAATGGCTTTGTAAGTTATTTAATCAATAAACCAATTCTCTAACAATAATCAATTAAAAAAAAAACCTGTATCTCTTGTAAAGATTAAAATTTTACTTTGTGAGATAGTGCAAGGATTCCCTCTTAGGTGCCTATCAGGTTACCCTCAAGCATGGAAATAAAAGAAAAATCTTGAGTCCCTTCAAGGTAAAGTCTAGGTACCTAGCTAACCTTGAGAAGTAAATAAGCAACCTGATAAGCAGGGTAATAATAGCTTAAATAATACCCATCCAAGTAAGTTAGAGTCACAAGATGTTTGGTTCCCCATAGAAACTAATGATAACATCTTGACACATGTACCTGAGTTATTTTTCAGAAACCAGGACTCCCATCAGATGGAAAATGCTAACTGCTGTCACACAGACCTAAGATAAGGAAGAATTGAGGACTTTACTCTGATGGTCCTTCTTTGTTCTAAGTTTCCTCCTGAAGCGCCTGGAGAGTCAGGTTCACAGGCCAAACCTTAACATTCCTTTCTGCTGACCCCAAGTTTTTTAGACAAAGCTTTGCTTCCTTAACACATTGCAATCCAAAAAATCTCTAAATCCACCTATGACCTGTAAGCCCCTAGTTCAAAGTAGCCTACTTCTTAGGGCTAAACCAATGTATAGCCTCCAAGGATTGACGTAAGACTTTGTCTATGACCTCTGCCTCCTGCCCTTTAAAAACTCTTATGTGTAAGCTAGCAGGGAGCTAGGGTCTTATGCACTAGCTGCTCAAGTCGGCTTGCTGGGCACCATGCAATAAATGCCCTTCTTTCTCTCATTGCAAATCTTGGTGTCAGTGTCTGTCTTTGCTGCACCAGGCAAGCAAGTTTGGTTTAGTAATATTTGCAATTAATTTTTACTCCATTTTCATTATGTTGTCAGATGTTAACACTATTTACCAATCAGTTAGACTGATATCAATGATGTTGACCAGGGAACAGGAACAGATCCGAGCATAAAACAAATAGTAATGTTTGTGTAGGGCTTGATTTTATAAGTAGCCACTTCAATAGTAAGCAGGTTCAAGTTAGGATGACTTTTGTTTTCACATGCAACTTTGTCACTGTGGAGACTTAGATAATGAAAACTTGGACAATAAACAAGCAAAGGAAAATGCAAGCATGTAAAAAAGTGACAGAAAGAAAACAAGCACAGAAGTAGGAGCAGAAACAGAAGCAAGGATACAGGCAATCTGATTGATCCAATTAAAAACTGGGCTCCATGACATTCAGTGTTTTCTGGGTACTACAAAGTACAGATCAGCAAACAGATGTCAGTAATATAAGAATTTCAATATTTTCTTTTCTTTTCTTTTTTTTTTTGAGTTGGAGTCTCACTCTGTCACCCAGGCTGGAGTACAGTGGCATGCTCCCGGCCACCGCAGCATTGACCTGCCAGGCTCAGGTGATCCTTCAGTCTTCCAAGTAGCTAGAACTACAGGTACGTGCCACCACACCTGGCTAATTTTTTCATTTACTGTAGAGATGAGGTCTCACCAAGTTGCCCAGGCTGGTCTTGAACCTGTGGGCTCAGGCAATCCTCTCACCTCGGCCTCCCAAAGTGTGGGATTATAAGGCGTGAGCCACCGCGCCTGGCCTTGAATTTCAATATTTTCTCGAATCTCTCAAATAACATTCAAGGTGATTCAATTTGTAGCTCACAGTAACATATCTCAAAAAATAAAGCCTCTTTCCTTTGTTCCTAATATTCTCATGGCATGTAGTTGTTCTGGAGCTAAACCAATAGCACCTGAATTCTCCTTAGAGCAACCTCCATCTTCTCAGTTTTTTGTTTCTTTGTTCATTCAATAGGGTAGGCTCAACTCTTCTTGATCAATTCAAGGGATAAGAAGATCAAAACAGCAGCCACAACTATGTGTTAGTAGGACAATTAGGGCCCTTTGGAAAAGTTACTCTATCAGGCAATAATGTCTCTTAAACTCCTCCTCAGACATTCCATAAGGTGTAGCTAGGTAGACTGAATTGCTTCACCTTATTTATTTCACTGCATATAGCTTTCTTCACCACGATAACAAGAGGTGAGCTCATGATCAAGGTAACTGGGAGTGGAGTATGTATAATTTACATCTCAGTTGGGCCCTATAATTAGCTTTTGTTTGTCTACTTGAAAGAATGTAAAAACTATGCAGTCACTCCCTCCTACTCTGGTTGTTTCTCCAAGAGCCTCCTCTGTTGTCTCTGACTTTAACACATTTTATTACCAGTAACAAAGCTTAGTGTATATTCCTCCTCTAATAAAATAGATTTTGTTCCTGATGATTACTATTTAGCAGAGATTGATTTTGAAATTATGAGAATTTTCTTATTTATTTATTTTTTAATTTGGAGTCTCACTCTGTCGCCCAGACTGGAGTGCAGTGGCCACTCTCAGCCACCGCAGCCTCGACCTGCTGGGCTCCAGCGATCCTTCCACCTCAGCCTTCCAAGTAGCTGGAATTACAGGCACGTGCTACCACGCCCGGCTGATTTTTTTTGAT